CAGTTTGCTGTAGATATTATTCGCATTTCGCAGTATACAGATTGGCAAATATCACTCAATCATATTAATGTATTTGAAAATATGTAAATTTTTAGCTCAATCAAAAAAAAAAAAAAAAAAAAAAAAAAAAAAGAGAGAGAGAGAAAGAACTGGGGGACGGAAAACGTAGCATATGTCAAATTGATTTTTCGTTTATAATAATACAAATATGTTATACAGGTGTTTCAAAATACCTAGAATAACAATATGTCAATCGGAATGAATGTCAAATTGGTGCTGCCATCTTGTGGCTGATTTAAAATTGGAATTTAATTCTGTAGTTTAATGTATAACATACTATGTTTAGTTTGCAAGATATATGGAAAAAGCTATTTCTACTTTAACAGCTTTTTAAATCACAATATATAATTCAAAGAAATGCATTTTAAGCTCCTTATATTTATTTATACTTGGAAAGACGTGTAATTATTCTTTTACTTTAACCATCGGAAGCACTTCCGCAAAGGATCCGTTAAATGTAAACATCTCCAAAAATGGCGATAAACGTTCAAAGCTGGTAACCCAGCGAATTGGCAACCTGGTTTGCTTTTAGAAAGAGAATATTTGCCGTGCGTTTGCCGCTTGCTAGGGGTGCGTCAGTACCGGGTTAAGGTGGTGAAAATACGGCCGGAGTGAATGATAATTGATAACATGGTCGTTTGAGACATAATATGGCTGTGTTCTTATGTAGACTCTTAAAACACTAACACGCAGAACCATACAGGTGCCCGACTCCTAAAACTATTATGATTAACGTCGGCCGCAATAATATAATTTTTAAATTAAGTTTTTAAGTTTTTATTACTGTTACTTTTACCTAAAATAATAAGAATTAAATCAGTTTTCATTGCTTAAAAATTTGATATATTTTTAATGCATATTTTTAACAATTATTTTTCAGAGGATGCTAGGTGTTTATATTACAATAAGATGATTAGAATGAAATGAAATAATATATTATTGGTTCTCTGAGATGACAAAATACTTTTATGTATTCCCAAGGTCATCAAAGTTAGTAAACCCACTGCTTTGAGTAATTAATCAAAGTTTGAATGAATCTTGAAAGATAACAAGATGTGTAATGTTATTCTAGTTTTATTTACAATGCTACTTTAAAGGATTTGAATATATTGAAGATACTTGGCATTGTCAAATTTATTACGAAAAAGACAGTTGTTGCAAAATAAATATTTTAAGCTATCAGCAAGTAAATTCAAAAAACAACTTTGAAAAATTGCTTGTGTAAAATGAATGTCTTAAATGTATTATTTAGTAATGAATCCATTAATCTATTAAATGTACAGTAGCACTAATTATTAAACATAATTTTGAGAATATCGACAAGCAAAGCACGTAATGAAAAAGACACTTTTTACTAAAAATATTAGTATTCTGTATGAATGACAGAGAATATATGTAATGAATACCATGGCTAAATACCTATATAAAGAAAAAGAAACAAACAAACAAACAAAAAGTAGTATTCTCTACCTTGACATTGCAAAAGTAAACCTGCTATGCAACACATAGTTAATTTCTGATTACATGATATTGCAAGCATTTTCTTCAGATTTTTCCTACAACTGGTTAAGACCCTTGAATACTGGTAGTTTGATCTGGTTTCATATCATAATTAAAGGGCAGGCTGCATGGTTGATTTTTCTAGTTTACCTCATATGTCATGCAAATACAAGCCAGTTTCCCTTAGAAAGTTGTTCAAAACGGCATCTTTCTTCAGGTCCATAGCTATTCTCACTTTTGATATTCTAAATTGCACTAATGTATACAGCATTGAATTATGTCCATTTTAAGATAAATTTTCGGAACATCATTTCTTATAAGTTTCCAAACATCTTTTCAGAAACTGTCTTTCTTACAAGATTTAGAGATGAAGGTATATTTAGTGATCATCAGTCTGAATTCGAAAAACAGTGCAACTCTTCAGAAGACATTCCTTGTGATCTAGTGACTATTTTAGAGGAAAAGATAAAACAACAAAATGGAAGAAAGAACCCTTTCGAATTCAAAGATGCATGGTGTCCCATAATATCGTAAAAAAATTGCCTGGCAATACACATCTAAAGATGTGGCTTCACCCATCGATGCATGAAAGCTAATATTTGATGATGCAATGATTGAACTGATTGTGAAATGCTCTAATATTTATGTAAAAAAAAATTCGGGAAATTTTAAAGAGATGCAAAACCTATGGAGAAGTGTTTCTTGCTTTTTTAGGACTTATGTAAATCCCATTCCCATTATCTATCCTCCCATGTAAATGTTAGAGAATTATGGGTGACTGATGGAACAGGATTGAATATTTTTCGTAAAACAATGAACTATAAGCGTTTTCTTTTCATTCGTGCCTTATGATTTGATGATGTTGGAACATGGGATGGCAGAAGAAAGAGTGATAAATTAGTTCCAATAAGAGATTTGTTTGAAAATTTTGTCAGAAATTATATCATGTAGGGGAATACATGACTTTGGACGAAAAGCTAGAACCTTTTCAAGGTCGATGCTCCTTTCTTAAGTATATGCCTAAGAAACCTGTAAGATATGGTATAAAGATATTTACTGTGGTTGATTTTAGAACCTTCTATACTTTCAACATGGAAATTTACTCAGGTCAGTAGCCAGATGGGCCATACAAGAAAGTCAACAGTTCTTGTGAAAAATCTGAAATAATTACGTTTTATAACATGACAAAAGGTTTGGTTTATTGAGATTATAAAGTACACCAGGGCTATCTGCCTAAAGGGAGGGATGCCTTCGTGGAGGACTTTCTAAGGGAAACTGGCTTGTATACACGGTACACATGGGGAAACCACGAAAATGCCCATGCAGCCAGCCTGTTTGTGGGATCTGAACCTCGGATAATTCATAGAGTGTCAAAACACTTTTTTTTCAAAAATATTGTGAATAAAAAATTGAGTACTTATGAAACGAAGTAAAGATTTTTCAGCTTTGGGTCCCAATGATGTAAATATTCAGTATATGCTCCTATTCAGTCTATACACTGCACACGTCAAAATTATCCTTCACTTTCGTCCATACCCAACAGCAACTGAAGGTAAAATCCCTGAGCATTGGTAATTCGACCTGGGTTCAAATCTCTAAATATAAGCTGGATACATGGAAGTTTTCAAGGTTTTCCCTATGTGTGACACAGCTACGAACCATTTTCATCTTTTAAAAGTCTTCAATGAAGACATCCTTCCCGGTAGGCAGATAGTCTCGTGTGCTTTGCTGTAATCCAGAAAATATGCAATTTAAATTCAGTTCTGTGAACACACGCCGTAACATTTTCCAAGTTACGAAAGCAGCTCTAATGTGGTCCTGGCCGTTCTCTAACGCTGGCAGGGGGGTATATTGTCTTTAACATGATGAACAACGTCCTGAATGTACCTCCAAAGGAAAAAAATTCACGACAGAGCTTAGTTGGCCATCTGAAAATGCTAAGCCATTTTTTTTTTCATGTCGTTTACTCCAACGACTTAGCTGTCCATCATTCAGATAGCAATGTAACACGTCGACAAGAAAATATGGAAAAATGCGCGCAGGGCCCGACTAACCTAACTGAGGGCCCCCTCTGCTTCACTGCTTCAGTAATGAACAAGCGAACCTTTTTGGAGATATTTAAATTTTTATAATAATAAACTTTCTATTCGATTTGGGGGCCCGTGGCAACTTCCCCGTATACCTCTGCCTTAGTCAGGCTCTGAATGCGCATGGTATTTGCAAAATCTATAATAAGCAAAATTTTATCGTATGAAACAACGTTGTATTTTCAGAAACTTTAAAATTGAATGTATTTCGGTTCGACAGACGAATTTATATGTGACAAAATACAAATTAAGAACTGAATACGAAAATCCACTGTCGAATGAGAAGTAGAGGCATAATGATTTGGAGAAGTTTCGTTGCCTTTAGAATAACGAAATTCAGCGTTTATCGAAAATAATATGGATTAGTATAAACATATAAATATTCTTAATGAAAACTCGAAAGCATCTGCAAGAAAACTTGGAATGCAAAATACATTCAATTTCTATCAGAACAGCGATTCTAAACATATAGATATAAATGCTCCCTTGTGGTTATTATACAATCGTCCTAAATTATCAAAACATCTCCCTACTCTTGGGATTTAAAATCGTACGGAACACATATGGAGTGGGGTGTGAGGAAAAGACTAAGGGAACATGATACTTCGACTAATTGATTTATTTGATGATGACAAAGCACTCGAGGGTTATTTGGCTAAGGGAAGGGAGGCCTTTGTGGAGGACTTTCTAGGGGAAACTAGCTGGTATACACGTTACATACGGGAAAACCACTAAAACGCCAATGCAGCCCGGTCAGTTCGCCAGAATTTGAGCCCCGGACCAAACTGCCAGTGTTCAGCAATTTTACCGCTTTTTTTATAAAGAAGTATCAACAGCAGCTGCTGGTGATACTTATTTGAAATCTCTACTAAAAGCAGTTCTTACATAGGAATGAAACAGTTGGAACTTTCTTACAGAAAAATTTTATTGAAGCCGCGCTAAATGCATGAAAAGTTTTAACTTAGCGAAACGATATCCAATGAAATACTAAGTTCTTTATTTTGCATTTTTTATTAATTATAAACTCTTTATTCAAAGCGACCGAATACTTATGTAAGTTCATTTCCAGAACATTTTAAATATTTTTTTGAATAACTATTTCAAAACCAGGTTTTTGAAATAGATAATCAATAGTATATATATGAAAGAAAAGTAAGGAGATTTCCCTATTACTAACTGATATTTGCAAATAAAACTGAAACACGCAAGTGTCTGAAAACAACTGTGAGCCACTATAATATATAAAAATGTACATTTTAAAGCAGTTACGCAATAGTTTCATCTGACTGAAGTTATATTATTGTAGCATACTTAGGCTGCTGTCTTGGGCTGCTTAAAGAATATCACACGAAAGCCGCAGACAACAAATTTATTAATTGTTTAAATAATATACATCATTCACAGTATTAACAGAGATCACAACATTAAATGTTTGGGGTGAAGGAAAGACGTAAATTTGTATAGACTAAATATTTTTATTTGTTACTGTTTTAAAAGCATAAACAAATATAAAATATTTACAACAGTCAGATATTGCTGCCACTCAGAGAAACGATAAATTGCAAGTTCAGCTGAATCTCTTGCTATTATTATTTGTGTGATATGAAGCAGATAACAGATATTTCTTAATAACTATAGGCAAAAAAATAGATAAATACAGAGATAAACGTAGTAGGATTATTTTTATTTGCTCTTGACTAGATGAAGCACTTCTAAAATTTCATTCCAAGCAAAAAGGACATCATCTGAGGTTGTCAAACGGGAACAGATGGCGAATCGGAGAATGTAACGTCCTCTGACTCGAGTAGGCGTGATGTGGATATTTTTCCTTTCGTTGATCAGTTTCAAAATATCTTCGTTGAGCGAATCCGGTCCCTGTGGGAACCAAATATATATATCTATATATATATATATATGTGTGTGTGTGTGTATTATTATATAAAAAATTCAAAAAATATTTTTAGTAAATTAAAAGCAGGAAAGGAAATTAATAATTAAGATAACCGATCTTTCTTTAATGAAAAATAACTACTTCACATTGTGTAAAACTGGTATCGGTACATAAGAACAATTTGAATAAAATAAAATATTATAACTTCTTCGCTGGTCTTTGAGCCATATGATAAGATTTAAAAAGGATTTCCTCTTTTGAATGTCATAATTAATAAAAAACTGACAGTTTATTATAAAACACAGCTGGAAATAAAATGAAATACTGAAAAGAACAAAAATGATTTGCGAAAGCATCTAATCACTTCTTCAATTATACACAACAAATTTACGGAAATAAATTTTTATAATTTTCTAAAATTAGGAAAGGTATCATTTTACCATAAACTTTGTCGATCTCATTGTGTCTGGTGTTGCATTTCTTTCTTTCTCATTAACAACATTACCGGAGAGATAGATGCCAGATTGGAAAACGTCGTCAAATATCCCTTACGAAAGTGACTTATACAATTCGGTAAAAAATCCAGTTTTAAATTTCTTTAGAATTACGGCCCAATTTTTTAAAAACTGTGTGAGAGATATGTATAATTCGATAAAATTTTAGATGTAGGTTCTATAGCAGTGGTTATCAACTTTTTTTGCGTTATGTAGCCCTTTCACCATTGCCCACCTTTTCAATACTTGAAAAATACATTTATTAGCTCAAAAGGACAATTTGCCCAGACGGGTTATTGATTTCATTTTGGTATTTTGCGCTGGTTCACTATAAACGGCGTTTCACTTTTCAAATTGTTGCCACCAAATGTTAGAACCCTGCATTATATTTAAAAGAAATTAAATTACAAAGAATCTGCATGAATGTATGTATGTTTCTTGCACTGAGAAAAAACAGCGGTACCTAGAGACATCAAATTTTGAATAACGTCGTCCTCTAGTCGACTATAGGCATCTGGAAGCCCAAATGTGGAACTTGTTTTATTATATATTTCATATTTTGTAAAACTTTAACGAATTTTTAATTAACAAACTCAAAACTGAATTTTTGATCAACGATTTTCAAAACGTTCCATTAACGTTAACATCACGTGCATCTTCAAGCACGGATATTTTATGCGCGAGGTTTCTTTACATTTCTTACTGGCATTCTTTTGGTAGCGTAGCGACGCAAAGACCCTACAATTTCTAACGGTATTTTGGTCGAATGTCTTATCACTTTTCTAATCTCTTTTGATATTCATAAACATATAGATAAATAAAAGTCTGACCGATCCCCCTTCAAACTATGAAATTCTCCTCGGTTGAGAATCTCTAATCTGTAGAATTATGTACAGAGACGCTATAGAAATGTTTTTACATATTCTATAGAGATATGTGTACATATTTGATAAAGTTTTATGCAGATATTCTATAGAGATATGTGTACATATTTGATAAAGATTTATGCAGATATTCTATAAATATGTGTATAATTTCCAAAGGTTCCACGTATGGTATCTTATACAATGGGTGCAGAATCAACTAATAGAGTTTTAGAGAATCTGAGATTCAGTTTACAGAAAATTTGGCCATAATTCTAAAAAATTAAAACAAGTTTATTACTTTATTTTACTATAAAAGAAAATCCTATAGGAGGTTTTTAAGTATTTAAAAGCATTATAAAATTATCAATTTTTTTTAAATTAGAAAAAATTAAATATAATTTTCATTTTTGAGTACAGCTTTTGAAAACGTATCTAAATTTGAAATTATCTATGACGTGAGGGAATAAAAACTTTCGGAACAAATGTGATTTTTTTTTGTTAGTAAACAAATTTCAGTATTGTTTTGATTTCAAAAATAATTTATATAAAAATGAATATATTTTAAATTATCTTTAATTAAAATTAAGAAACCATTTCTCTTATCAGACGAATATGTACTATAAGGTATTTCTCCCGCCTTCCTAGCGTGCCTTCGTGGTGTAGTGGTTCTGCACGCTGGGCCGGTATTCCATAGGTCCGTGGTTCGATTCCCGGTGAAGGCGATTGCTCATTTTTCATCTCGCCTGCTTCCAATTAACCAAATGTCTCTACAGTATAATAATTAAAGCATTCGTTTTAGGAAATAAAATTTCGTAATTAGCAGCATAAATTTAATCTTTTAATCAATTTTTACGCTTTCAGAAGATTTAATTTGTGTATTATATAAGCAATATTGTACAAAAAATTGTATCGATTATTATATAAATTTAGAAGCTAAAAGAACACTAAGCTACAGGAAAAAATGTAAAATTTCCACTTAAAAATTATTTAACACATGTGAATAAAATGTGTTTACTTTTACTCCTCTGTAAACCCATATGGTACATCAAAAACTAAAAATTTGCTTTGGTAACAGATTGAAAATTTAAGAAATTTCTCTGGAATACCATTCTGTTAAGGTTTTATTACATTTCTGTGAGATTTTGCAAAATGACATTTCTATGGGATTCTGTTCTGTGAAAGCTTTATAAAATATCTATAGAATTTTATAGAGATTCTTTGCTATACAGAATTGCCTATACTATTTTCTATAGAAAATTCTATAAAGCTTTATCAACCTCTTTAAACGTTTTTCGTAAGGGATGATGCCTAGTTAAAAGAAAAAATCTCCAAACGTTTGTTTTGAAGATTACAATAGTTATGAGCAATACTTATAAGGAATACTTACAAAACTTAAAAGCAATACGTATGAGGTAAAGCATAACATCCCTTTCCCGAAATGATGCCGAGAATAGGAAGATATCTAGCACTTTTATAGTCAATATCTCACCATTTGGGAGGCAGATCCTATTTGTTTGTAAAGCTACTATTATTTTGCACTAATCAATTATTTATATTTTCAACCTTTAATATAATTTCTGTTTTCCGTTTGCTCGCCAGAAATGTAAATTAGTTAGAGAGTATTTAATCTGAAGTTTTTGGACTGTAAGACAGAGCATGTTTCTGCTTCTCGAAGCAGTGTTACTTTCGTTCTACCATCTAAGTTAAATTTGTGATTAACTGGCTTTGCGTTGTATCCTGCCGGCATTTAAATTGTTAAATCGGTTAGAGTTTTGAGTCATATTTAAATATAATTCTGTAGTCTTTGACTACTAGACCATGTTTTAAATTTGAATTGACTGTTATTTTAGTTTCATCGTCACAAGTGGGGTTGATTTTGTTAAGTAGAAGACACGAATTTTTGTTCTAAGTTCTGTTAAATAAAATGTTTGTTTTAAACCTTTTTTCAAGGCTCTGTAGTTGTTTCAGACATAGTTCTAAACAGATGTTAAGCAATAGTTCGCTTAACATCTATTTAGAACTAGTTATGCTCACAAAGAAAGTCAAACTCGATACATTCAACATATTCTTCCGTATGCTGAGAGTTGAAATTCCTTTTTGCAGCAGTTTTAATCGAAAACAATGATTCGCTTAGGTGCATGGAAGTGAGAAACGATTTTATATTGTGCTTTCCGTACTTTTTAAATAAAAGAATTTTTTTTGTCAATAAAATTACAAAATATCTCATCGTAGCATTCAGATATCATTCCGAATAATTTCTCATAATCTGCATTTCAGTTCTTAATTCCTTGTCTTGAATAAGTTGTGCAGGGATTCAGCAATTTCCATTTTCTTATTTAACAAATAAGTGAATTTAAGAAAAATTCAGACATTGACTTGATAGCTTTTCCCCTCGGGTTCAAAATGGTATTAGATTAAATTCTGTGAAAAATTTAAATTAAAATTAAACAGTTGTCAAAAACAAATACACGCCCGGCGTATTTGCAGCGGTTATGGACTTTATTTTTTAAAGAACCCAATAAACTCCGCCTGAAGAAAACTGGGATAATTTTCCGACACTTAACGTTCTCGGAAAGTTCTATTCCATTGAAACAATCCATCAATAATTTCTGATATTTTATTGAAGTATGTGTAATATAGTTAAATTTGCTTAACAATATATGGCATGGGAAAAAATATATGTGTAATAATATATACAGGCTTACGTAACCAACTACTAAGAAACACTACTTGAATAAAGTAATTAGATGACTTAAATTATTGGTACACACAGGTCGCTTCAACAGAACTGAAAAATATTCCAGATCATTGTAAACTCAGAAATTTAAATGTAAAACATTTTTCTTACTTTTATTCGGAAGCAAACTAATCCTAAAAGAACTGGTCCCACTACTTCAAATCTTTCGTCATTGTGCAGCAATTTTTCGAATTCTTTTGCCAGTGCCACTTGCTGAAAAGCAAATTTTCAATCAGTCATAACATTCTTGCTTAACTTCAACAGTTTTATCTTAAATTCCCTTCTTTATGTTTGGCTGAAGCTTTGTTTTGGAAATAATCGTAAGCATTTCAGCTTACTAATCTTTACAAATTCTTACTTACTTTTCGAATGTGTTTCCTCAGTCCTTCTACTCCATACATTCTGAAGAGAAACCAGAGTTTGAGGGAACGAAAACGTCTCCCTAACGGAATCTGCCAGTGCTGAAAGTGATAAAAGAGATTTTAACCAAAGAATAGTAAATTATTTTAAAAATCTATTTTCTTATAATTCTACATATCTGAAGATTCCAAATATCGATAAGCATTAGAAAATCAATGGAAAGGTTGTTTTTGCACACAGGAGTTTATCTACATTTCCATGAACTTAATGAATCACAGATAATGTCTGTCATTTAAAACCAGACATTAGCATTGAATGTCATCGTATGAAGTCATGGATTGCTACAAGATGATATTTGTTTTTACTTTCGTAATGTTGTTTCTAATTTAAAATCTGACTTCTGACTGAATTAAAAATGTGTATAAGTTCCTTATGAGGCTTTTTTTGAGCACACACAGCACATATACGTTGAAAGGGGAATATCATGTATACATACACTCAGTGAAAGACACTTATTGCAGATCCTGTTGGTCTGCTATCCACATGCCCTACATAAATCACATATTGCGCAATCAGGGTGTAAACTGCCATTCGCACTATGTGACACTTCGTAGGATTTTATGTTAATTAACAAGCTATTATGATCTGAAACTTTACTATAACTTCTTCTTTCCGTAATGCTCAACAGAAAGCAAATTAGTTGTAGACTATTATTGCAGAATAATAGAGTAGTTCAGCCGAGAGTTTGAATGTTTTAGAGTTACAGCTTGTGGCAGCCCGCTTGCAATTACGTCCTATCTCCAGCCCTGCCAAACATTATTCCGGCTTTAGCCATTTTTGATAGCCGATTTTAAAACTTTTTATTATTTTTATTTTATTTACCCGAGCCATTTTAAGTAGATCAGCATTTAAATCTGTGTTATTTTAAATACCCGCTAGTGGCGAAGTTCGTTCTGCAACAATCCTTTAATCTCACGTAAAAACGTTCCAGCGGCAAGAAAAAGTCATATTTATCCTTTATTGATGCTTTAAATTCACTGACTAACGTTCCAGGCAAGCCACCCAGCCGCTAGAGTGGTTAGTGGCTCTGACTGCGATAGCGCTGGGCCCGAGTTAAAAACCCGGAGAAGGCATGGTTGTAACTGCCTGTCCCATCATAGCAGGCAATGACCACCTATTGGGTGCTTGCATAATGAAATGGCCACCCCTTCCGGCCCTTGTAGTGGCGTAAAAAAGTTCAAGGCAAAAATGTCCTAATCATGTGAAAAAATTGCATAATGGTCAGCTATTGAAATATACATACAAACGTGTGAAAATATGAACATGTATATGGTAAAACCTTCTTAAGAAGATCATCTACGGTTCCCCATGATTTTAGCATTCTGTGGATATCATCGTCTTAATACGATTATCGGTATTATTATTCAATATCCATGATTTATGTCCTCACACAGAAATATTGGCCACATGCAGAAGCCCTTCCCTACGGGAAATCACCACCATGAGAAGTTTAACTGTACTTGGAAAATCCCATTTTATTTTTTAAATGTGTGCTAACTTTCTAGCCAGCAAGCCCATGAAAGAAGTTGTAGTAAGGTGGGCATGATGGTCTGATATTGAAAATAAGCAGCTCTTAATTTAGAATGTGAAGCATTGGGCCATGTCTTAAATCACATCCAGGATCTCGATAGCCCTACCATTTTGAAAAATTATTTTCAAAATTGATTTCATTATTGCCACGGAGTCAAAGAACCAGGCTGAGGATTTATGACCATTGGGCCACCTGTGGTCGAGTAATATGACATAGAACATTGGTAGTTTCATACCGCGCTTAATATTTATGGAATTAATGAATTAGCTTTTTGGATGCTTTCCTTTCTTTAATTATTTATCTAACGCATAATACGAGTCGGTTTTTCTTAGCCATTTTCGAATGCATCTCTGGTTTAAAAAGTACGTCTAGACTACTTTGCCTTAATTTAAATAGCCAAACTTTCACCTTTGACCCTTATCATTATTATTCAAAACAATATTCTTACCCTGTAATCTGGAATGAGTCCTTCTTTATCATGCCTGAGGTAAGTGGGATTAACGGAAAATGCTTCAGTGATGTCCTGCCTGTTCTTCACCCTGGAAACGAAGTAATACCGCGTACCTAAGTGATAATATTCAAGACCTTTTATGATATACAATGAGAAAAAAGAAAACTAAATTTTAAATGAAATGTTTCTTAAATGTACAACAAACTGAAAATATAAAATATCCCTTCCTAAGACGATGCCTTTGCATCTGTCTATTGTTGTTAGACTCTTTTATTGAAATCATCATAGAATTAATTCTCAATTTTCTTGAACAAATTTAATATTAAAATGCTTCGATCTCTTTTGACTAGCCCTCCATTTTGACTTTCTTGATGCTGATCGAAACAGTTAACACAACTGAAACTAGTAATAACCAATCTGCTTCCAATCTGCTGGTTAGCGAAAATGACGTTTAGTGTGATGTTCTAGTTGATGAGCTCAGTTTTGAATTCTGAGACTCTGTTAACTTATGTCTACGGAGAACAGGAGTTCACGCAATACATCGATACGAAAGTTCTCTTCTGTGATCCGTGACGAAGGAAAAAGTCCTTCGATAGGATCACCTGGGATTTTCAATAAAATGATGCTGAGAAAAGTCATCAATGACGCCTAAAGTTTGTGGACTCTTTTGTAAAACTTTATCAATAATACTCTCATTTACTTTATTGTCATAAAAATTTTGCAAATCCTTTAACAACAGAAAAAGGGTCTTGAATTAATGAGTGACTGAAGAGGGATAAAAAGATAAGTAATCTAATATCTAAATAAAGGATAAAAAAGAAAATAAATAGAGAAAATACTATAGCAAGGAAACAATGGTATGATTAATTTTTTGATCATTAAAACATCCCTCATTATCGCACTTTTCACCACGTGACGTTAATAGCCAATGATTAGCTGAGTTGTGTTTATGGCCGAGCGATGGAAAGCGACAGACCTATAGAAACCTATTATGCCTAAGTTAATTTATATTCCTCGTCTTAAAAATATGACGATATTGAAATTAAATGTGGGGCCGTAACTCTTGACAACCGTCTGAAATGAAAAAAATAAATTTACTTCTTAATTTTTTAATTTTAATAAATGTGCACTGTCATTAATGTTCTAGTTATGCTGCCGCCTAGAAAATGTTCAAATCTGAAATTCAAAATTTGATCACTAAAAGAGTTTCACACATTTTCGCACTGGCGTTAAATTTGATGAAGTTGCACCGTTATTAAGGCTGAAAATTACAGAAATCATAAATTAAAAACATCTTTAAGTGCAACCATTCTATCCAGGGTTATCGAGGACCACCTGTAAACCGCCAGAAGATTTTTTTATGTCACTTGTCAGCTAGAATAACGAGACAGTTGATAAAAATAGTCCCTATTTAATTTAGAAAACCCCGTAATAAAAATTCGTGTTTTCTGGTAAATAGAGAGAGGAATTAAAAAACTTTTAGTCTTTTGTAAATAAGCCTGTTAGTTAATTCAACAAATTATAAATCTTACCACATGGCCGAGCAGTCAAAGTTCACCAACATCCATTTGTGAGGGTTAAAATTGAAAGTGTCAGCGAACTGAAAATATAAAGAAGTTAACAATAATGTGCATAAAATTACAATTTTAATATGCATAAGCAAAATGTAGTTAATATGATGTTTCCAGAGCTTAAAAAACGTTTTTCTAAGTAGTTGTTCGATTTATCCATCTGCGCATGGTAAAGAAATATAGTTAAAAATAATGTTATTAACAGGATAAACCATAAGAAAGTTAAAATTTTCCAAATTCATTATATTCTATCTAAATAATTGCAATAAAACTTAACTAAGCCAAAATAGGGGAATAATAATAATAATAATAATAATAATAATAATAATAATAATAAAGCAGTCCTTTTTTTATCTCTTTTTATTATTTCATACTTTAAAGGCAAATATGCATTGTGTACACAAAATCCTTACCTGACCTTTATCCTTGTAACCGTTTGCCTCGCATTACAAAAATGTTTCAAATGATAGCAATGGTCATGTTTTGGCATTTTCAAATTTAAAAATATCAATGTTCTAAAACTTTAAGAAGTCTAATTATTTTATACGTTTTTCCAGGTCCTATACTTGCATATAAGAAAATTTGTACTGATTTAAAAAAAAATAAGTGTAACTTCTGTACTACAAAATTGATCGAGATATTTCATTTTAAAGTTGAAAATGGCATTCAGGGAGTTGTACACAAATAAGAGCGAAATGTTTGCATTTGTACGTAACTTAAAATATCAATTTGGAAGAAGGTTTACGATATTAATAGATAAAATTATGAGCATTAATAAGCAGATTGCCTTAAAAAGTATTGATTAATATAAAGCTTTCAAAAAAAAAAAAATCACGGAATGTTCTAGAATTCGCCTTTAAAAAAAAAATGGCAAGCTTCGGTATTGGCATAAAGCTAATTTGTAACAAAATACACCTAAATTAAAAGTATGTCTAGTTTAATGAATAGTTGTATGATTATATTCATGAGAAGATTAATAGCATACTTTTAGCATTTGAAAACTTATAAATTACTTTTGTGAAAACTCTTTCGGCGTACCAGGTAAATTAAAAATTGTATATGAATAAATCACAGAAACATATCGTTGAATGACATTTAAAGGAAAAAAAATCAGCCTAGAATTATCCCAATTTATTTATTAACCAGTCCCAAGGTAAGAGGAAAATGACATGAAATGTAACAATCTTGAAATTAAATATCTCGATCCGTTTTTGTCGCACGAGAGTCAAACGTTTTGTATTTTATTTTTTGTGATAATGTAACATTTTCCTAAATATACGAACTAGGGGATCGTATAAAAAGATAGATACCGTAATTTTTATAAAACTGAATTTAAAAATTTTAAAATGCCAAGCATGAATACTAGAATTATTAAAAACATTTTTGAAATTAGAAGTACATATATACTTATGACGAACAGTTCCGAAAATAAAAGCGACATTCGTAGACACGATTTTATACTTTACTAACCGCTACGCGTCTCGCCTTCTTCTGGCTTTTAAATGTACCGTAAAAATGCCTAAAGGGAACACCAACCATTAAATTTAAAACCTGCACAGAATTTTACTCTGCAGAACAACCTTATCAAAAATGTATCACATATTAAAAAATTACAATGAAATAAGTAATATCCCTTAATACAAATGTTAATTATCCTATTAAATAAATTAACCAACTTCCCGCTGCAAAATCTTAAGAATTCAAATGGTATAAAGGAAGTTAAGAACTTTGTTTCATAAAACAATTCATGCAAATCTTTTTATATAATTAAAATTTTATATAATTAAAACATAATATAAAAAATTACAATGAAATAAGCAATAAATCTCATATTTTCAAGAGAAAACAATCCGCAGTCCAGTATCCAAGGAATGAATGGAAAACTATTACCAAAACCACATTTCTAAAAGAACGAAACTATCATCAGAAAGCAATAACCAATGAAAATTGTGCTTTGTGTATGTTATAATTCAAAATATACAAACCTCTTTGTCATTAGCTAATAAAGAAAGAGAGGGAAAAAAAAAAGGAAATTCTTTCTGTTGTCTCTCGCGAGACACATGCGCGTCAGAATAAGAAGATTGCGATGTGCGTGTTGCGTGCATAATTAACAATATTTTATCTCATATTTTCAACATCCAGTATACAAAGCATTGAATGAAAAACTGTTGCCAAAACCATATTTCTAAAAGAATGAAACTATTCAAAATGATGTGTTTTCATCAAAAAAGGTAAAATAAAAAAGAATATCATTCGAATTTTGAAAAAAAAAAAAATCGCTTTAAGGTGCACTGCTTTTGTCTAGATGCACTATGCACCAAATTTTCGTAGCCCTGGGTTTATCAGCTTAAGCGCAGCACAAACGAAAGACACACACATACACAGACAGACAGACTCTTTCTTTTATTATATGCAGAGATAGAATGAAAAGAAGTAAAATGCAAAGCTGTGTGTGTGCAAAATCACTGGGCCATGAACTTTCTGTACAGAAGATGAGCTGTCAAGAATTTAAGTTCATTGAAGAATCATGTGAATTCAAATTTTACTTATACTGAAAAGTTCCCTAGCTAAATAAATTTCCAAAAACCGCTGCCTTGGAGATTTCAATAAGTTTATTACTGTATCAAAATCGTGTAGTACATTTTACGTTAAGTTTTGTCATACTATTAGAAATGTTTTCAGTAATGCTGACAATGTTACACTATTCATTAAGGCTGACAAAGTTCCAGAAAAGTATTCATGAAATAGCAGACTGCACACACAGTTATTTACGAGGTTTTAAGACATTTATGACGAAATTTCGTAAGCATTTATATATTTAATTTACAGTTTAGACATTTCATTTACAATATGGGATAATTTTCATTGTGCGGCTTTTCCTCACCATCCGTAGGCAGTAATAATTGAAAATAAATGTATAATATTTATTAGTTAAATAACAAAGTATTTTATTTTAATTTAAAAATACGAAAAACTGGAATAAAGTGTTAACCAAAAATGTACTTTTATTAGAAGAAATTCGTTTTTTCCCCCTTCATTATTATGAAATGTATTTAATTCTATTTTTCGAAAGGTTTAGGAAAAGCAAAAATAATAAATCACGAAACCAAATGAATTAATTTCACGTCAGAAATTGCTTAAAATAAGAGTAAATACAACATAACATACAACGAGGCATATTTATATATGCCAACGAGGCATATCAAAATATGGGTCCGAGCACATTAATGTGGCTACTTCCTTATGTTTGACGTCAGCACTAAATAACCAGTGTCTCATATGTCAAGAGTAAATCTGCTATATAGATATATTGTAGGCCTTCGGGGAATATTTCAGGTGTTGATATGAATAAATGGAGCGATTTATAAGACTTACGAAAAGGGATAATTATTGGCTTAGGATCGGGCCAAGGATGGCAGCATTTCTAAAATTGCACAGTTTGTGAATTGCTCATATGCTGCTACAGTGAATAATAAAAGGACTCTATACAAAATAAACGACGTAGAAAATGCAGAACACAAAAGCAGTCATGGAATGAGAGGGCGAACGGCAACTGTGGTGTTGCGTTCGAGCGAATGGACATGCTATATTATAGTAACTTATTGCCAAAAGAGCCGGGGTCGTAGCAATCGCATAAGCTGCAAAATGACAGTGTTATGAATTTTGCTGTATATGAGACTCCGCAGTAAGTGAATGGTAACAACATGGTTAGTATGATTATGACAAAACATGCGAGGGCTATTTGCTAAGGAGAGGAATGCCTTCGTGGAGAACTTTTTAAGCTGTTAAGCACTCATACATGCAAGATTTTTCCCTGAGAATGAGGGCATCTTCCAGCACAACAGTGCTATGTATCACAATGCTAGGAATGTGCACAGTGATTAGAAGAGTATGAGGAAGACTATACTGTATTTCCCTAGCCCTAAATTCCTAGTCTTAAACCAAATCGAGAATCTATAGGACCACCTCTTGGCTTGTTTATTGTGAGGACTTCCGCTATGCGCCCTGCAGCAGTTGTTCGCTGCACTGCAGTGAAAGTTGCTCCATATTTCTACGAACACCACTTTCCAATACCTTACTGAGACTCTCTCAACTTAACCCGTCCACTCCAATAACTGCCAGTAACTGCCACGGGCTCCCGATAAGATGTTCTGGTCACATTAATGTGATTTGACCATGTATATTAGTACGATTTAGAAATAACGAATATATGAATGCTGCGTGGCCTTTATTTCTTCAAAGTGAAAAGAACACTGAAGCTCTGCTTTCTTCTCACTTTACTTACACCGTTTAAAAACTTGCATATAATGACAAGGCAACTCTTTTGCATTTCTACTGGCATTTTATTTTATTTTAGATTCCAAAAGCACAGCAAGGGTGCGTTTTGTTTTATCTGGAAAGAAAAGAGACTTTTAGACATTGTAATACAATGTTTTTTTGCTAGTTGCTAATCTCCAATTTAAAACATTCATTCTCTTACTTCTACTCCATCAAGAAGAGGTCTGAATTCCGGACAGATGAAAGAAGATCCGGCATAAGCGGCGTCGATATGCAACCACAGTTTCTCCCTAGCACCTGAAATCAAGAAAATAAGCAATAAATCTCATAATAATTATAGTCTCATAATAATCTCATAATAATAGTATTGAAATAGATAATTAGAAAAATTCCCGAATAGCTCTTATAATTATTTTTAAATTATTTATAATTAGAGTTATAGTTTTGTCGTAGGGTATCTAACGGTTATAATAGAGATCTAAAAAAATAATGCGAAAAATCCGAAACATGCGAATTTATTCGAATTCGCAGAAAAATGTGATATTTATGCAACCCTTGAAATTCGAGAAAATGAAGATGGAAATTCTCATCGCTACACATTTTCTGCTCTAAACATAACTGAAGTCATAAATTAGCCAAGACAAATACTGCCTGAACACCAACCTGAATATATTCTTGTACCTTAAGATTACCTGAGAAGTTCTAAGGGGCGGAGCTTCTTGTTATTTCATATACATTTTAAAGTTACGCAACCTCTTCGGATTTAGCGTTTACGCTAAATAAAAAAGCTAAAATATAAACTCTTTCTACCTAACCCATCGAGAAAGACGTACATGAGACAAATTTTAAAAATGCCTGATCTGGGAATGCCAGCTCGTTGCAACTATCTCTCGCAGAGGATCACTTCTGAAACTGACTAGTGCTCCCGAAAGCATATATATCAATATTGAACTTCGCTTTCTTAGAACGACCACCTCTGGAACAATAGATGGCCGTTATAGAGAATGTTTGCTATGCCTTTTTTTTCCACAAGTTGTAATAAAATTAAATATCTGCCGATTGAGCTGCGATGCCATTATTATAATAGTTATTAAAGCAACAACAATATTTTTATATTTCTCAGTGGCAACGCGATTGATAATAAAATACAGTAATAATTTCTTAAGAGGATCATTACAATTCCTGATAATTTTGGTCTTTTTTAGATGTGGTCTTTTTAGAAAGTTGATGATAAATACTCCTGTTAGGTGCTGAATTCTGATATTTATTTATGTTCTCATGGAAATTGGTCGTTTGTAGAGGTGATTTTGACAAGAGGGTTCACTGTATCTGCCTTTTAAATAGCGATTGCATTGTTATGTACGTTCTTCAATAACTTCGGGTGAAAATAAAGAAACTAAATGAAATTACAAATACGATTAATCAAATAGACAACATTAAGATTATTTAGATACTGCTATTAATATATTTGGGGTATATTTGTAGATATAGTAGATATATTTTAATAGATATATGTAGATATATTTATAAATACTTGTAGATATTTGGAGATATATTTTAATTATATTTCACTGAAGGTTTCGTAAAGTATTGTGATCTGACAAATGGAATTTTTTTACGTAGATAAAATATAAATGAATAAAAAGGCGGAATAAATAGTAAAATATGAAAGATTTCAGTATTTTCCCACCAACTCTTAAACTCATTGCATGACTAATAAAATTATTCGATCGACATTTCGCGCCATATTAGAATTATTGCTTGTTGTTGCTTAAAATGTATAGCCTTCTCATTTCATAAACATAACAGGATCTATCAGAGGCCGAGCGACAAAGTCGCTGAACACTGGTAGATCGGTTCGCGATTCGAATCCCGGCGAAGGCGTTTTTGGGGGTTTTCCTACATGTAACATATATGGCAGTTTTCTTTAAAACGTCCTTCACGAAAGTATTCCTCCTCTTAAGCAGAGTGCCATAATCAAATAAGCTAAAACCGTGCATATAATGTATCATTACTTATCTTTATAATCAATCAAAGAGCTCTCAAATGCGAGGAAACTAATATAAACGAAGAGATGGTATATGTGTACTTTTCCTAAATTTTCATTTTTGCCCGATTAACAGACTGAAATCATTTCTACATATTGCTTTGTTACACAACTTTAGACAATTCATCGTGCATGTTTTCCCTAATTACACGAGTGTTTTTCAAGCGTCGATAAGGAAAATTGAAACAATAAATAAATAACAAAATAGAAAGCCTAAAAAGACTACCATTTGTTACTATGTTGCCTGAGTACATGCAATATTTTTTATGTCAGGAAAGTCTTTGTTTTTTTTTTTTTTTGGATTTTGAGGGCCTCGAATTATTATCGGACCATGGAAGAAAACAATTCCATGAGACACGGCAAATTGGAAATTCTCAAAGTATTACCATTTCGACATTCGCTTAGCCAAGGGGGATCTTCTCCACACGGCACAGAATTAAGTCAATAAATACATGTTTTGAAAAATTCTGATACATAAAATTAATTTTTTTAATCAAAAATAGCTTTGAAATTCTGCCATAAATCAGAGAAAATACTTAATTTTATCACAGTCCCGACCCATAAGTAAGAATTTCATATAAAGCTCAATGACTTTAGTCTTAATCATAAAACCTGAAATGAGAATTAGAGGAAAACTTGCGGAAGAGAATTCTATTTTTCAGTCCTGTACCCTTAAGGTCTAGAAAATACAATCAAATTCTTAGGTTTCCCCAAACTCCCTCTTTACTTCTCGTCATCTAGACTAGGTTAGGTTAGATTATTTGAATATGACAAAACACGTGTGAGCTATGTGCCTAAGGTAAGAAATGTCTTCGTGAAAGACTTTCTAAGGGTGTGTGTATTTAATTATGGCAAAGCACACTAGGGCTATCTGTCTAAGGGGAGGGATGCCTTCGTGGAGGACTTTCTAAGGGAAACTGGCTCGTATACACGTTACACATGGGGAAAACCCCGAAAACGCCCATGCAGCCAGCCCGTTCGCGGGATTCGAACCTCGGACCGAACTACCAGTGTTCAGCGACTTTACCGCTCGGCCGTTGGTGGGCGACTTTCTAAGGGAACCTGGCTCGTATTCACGTTAGATTTGGGAATATCACAAAAAACCAACCATGCAGCAAGCTCATTAGCCTGTGTTTCGAAGTAGGTCGAACTGCTGGTATTCAGCGGTCTTAACCGCTCTGTCACTAGTGGTTCCTTGTTATCTTGAAAACGTAGCATTTGGGAATTTAGTTGGATCACTCTCCAGGTAAAGGAATATTTTAAATAGGAGAGGGGAATCTTATTTCTTATAAGCTCTGGTTAATTACTTTTTGTTGTTAAATCTTCTTTCGATTTCATTTATATTAGTAGGCATCTCACAGGCGCATAAAATGTTGCTTTTCAATTAAGCAAACAATGCAAATTTCAATTAGTTTTGCACCCAGAAATATATTTCACAATAAAAATTTTGAAACATTTATCTTTACGTTCTACTGACAAATTTTTTAAATAACTATAATTCATTTGTAGAGACATTAGCTTTTTTTGAAAGCAGGAGAAGTGAAAAATGAGCAGTGCCCTCGCCGAGACTCGAACCACGGGCCTCTTGAATACGCGCCGAGCGTGCTGAGCGAAAGATCGTTTCCTAATTAAGAATAATCTTTCGGTTTGAAGAAACATTTCTAAATTTGAAACTCTTCCCTCGATTAAAATGTGTTCTTTTCAGAGAAGCATATGACAATTATTAATACTGAGGCTCATTCAGAAAACAGTGGTTACTTTTAGAGGTGGTTTTATACAAAATGGCCACTACAAGAGGATTCACTGAATTAGCTTCCAATAAAAGAAAGAAAAATATTAGAACATGAAGATAAATAAACTTACAGCTAAGAAACATACTTATTCTCAAATGAATTAAAAAAATAAATAAAGGCAAAATTAAGAGCATTATTCTATGACATACGAAGAAATAATAAACAAACCACGCAATTAACTTTTCTCAGCTTTTCTAATCATAATTAAAAAGTAGTAAAAAATATTCGTAAGTCAAAAGTATTTTTTGATATATTTCCTACTATTTAAATATCTGAAATAAATTAGCACACCCTCACGAAAATGGAGGGTAAAGTGTTCTGTTTCTTACATCAAAGAAATTTTAAGAGTAACGAAGAAAACTTACAAACGGGGCCAATTTCATTAAGGTTATCAAAGGCGCACGTGTTCGTTGTTCCTAATGTTGCCACAACCTGAAAAGAATTCATTTGAATTTTTATTAATTTAAATCTTGGAAAGCATTTCTGAGACTGAAAAGAATTAACATAAAAAATAGAAAAGTTGAACTAACAATAGGAATATGCTAATTTTTTCTCCTCATAGAGTTTCATAACTGTAACGAATTAAAATAAATTAAATATTTGTGGCACATTTCAAATAAGTGTATGCTGAATTTCCGATTATTTTAGCTTATTGATGCTCGTTCTTACAGAATTCCCTTTTAATCATTTTTTAATCATCTATGACTACTTGCTATAAAGTCATTGTTTGTATCAATTAATACCCTTTGTCCTGCTATCCTAGCTATCTGCTATTTTGGAAGCTAATAGTTCAATGGATATGTTTTTAATTTTAAAATTTTAGTAGAAGTAGGTATTTCTGATAACATTTAGTAAATTATTTGGAAACAAAGTCTGAGTACTTTGAGCGAATATACAGCATTTTTTTTTCATAAGGCGAAGAAATTCTACTCTCGGCACGATAACAATTTTCTTACTGTTTATTCTGAAAAATCATTAAATTTTTTATAATCCCTAGGTTAGTATATAAGATTGAATTCCAATTTGCTTGCATTAACTAATCTAACGCTTAAGCCTGCAAAACGAATTTTCGTCTCGACTTCTGCTGCAAAATCAGAAGATTAAAATGAGCACAATAGTAATAACAGGAACAAAATTTGAAATTTGTTGGATACTTTAGCTTGAAGTACAAAAACAAACTTAACACAAATTTATTGTCGCTGCTTGCATTATGAATAAGTAAAATAAGTGCAATAATAATTGTACCATAAGTAAAATCCAATTATAGACAAGCACAAATTATATTCTGTTCCTAGCACTTGGCAAGTTAAATTAATTATCTGCCAAGCAACAGCCAAAATAAGGAATTCAAGCGATCAGAGAGTACGTACTTGGCGTCGGCTACGACATAGATGGATTTGCTTTAACGTGATGCCCGATGCCAAGCCTTCCTTCAATGAGTAAAACTCCTCTCATTTACACATTCTGATGGATGCGAACGAAGCAGTAGAAATATAGAACATATTTTAACATAAGCAAAAACGTGTTCGTTATGTTTTCAAATAAGTATAAATTTTAGCTATACCAAGGCGAATTCTAAAGATCTACGAACCGATTTAGCCTTTAGAATATTTTGTCTACAGTAAGTCAACTCCTTCGCCTAAGCAGTTTATTGATGCGTTGCATCCCAGCTAATGGCTCTGATTTTTATCAAAGCAGGAAGTGAAGAATATTGCACAGAAAACTAAAAACTGTAATTTCTAAAATCAGATAGTGCCTTGAATAGAAGAAGATTTTCGGCCTATTATTTTTGCGACTGCGCTGTAGGACAGAGAGACAAAAATCAGTCAGGATAATTATTCTGTAATCTTCCTGTATCATTCCATAATTTAACATTGAAAAATCAGCACGAAATGTCTTATATGAATTTTTTAAATTTTATTTTATTTATTCTTCTATTTTGTCTGCAGTTTGGCAATGGAAAGCAAATTATGTCCGCATCAAATTTTGCGTGAAATTTGGTACACTGCTCAAAAAAAAAAAAAAAAAAAAAATGGGACAGTGCCATAACTCCCGTTCTACTGGGCCGATTGACAAAATTCAAACTGCGTTTTTCATGTCTCGAAAGCGCGACTTAGGATATATATTAGATTTATATATAGCACTATTCTAACATAGGTATTTTAACACAAATCGGACTTTTTCTGAAATAACATACCAATTTTTTTACGTATTTCGATTCTACGACTCAAATTATGACAGAATACCCAGTTTTGTAAAAATCGTACGAATAGTTTTTTAAAATATTAGCTCTCAAAATTTAGCTCCTCAATGTTAATTGAATTTTGCAAATATTTATTAATATCTCTTTTTTTATTAAACTTTTTTGATTTTTTTTCTCTCACATTTCGAAATTTTGGTTCATTCCAAATAAAATTTACCCATTTTTGCGTTTTATTTTTTAAATTTCTATTTTTTAAATAATTTCTATAGATTTTTCGAAAAACAATTTGAATTATACCTATAAAATTTTACCATCATCTTAAAGTAGGTGTATTTTTAAGCATATCTGCAAAAAATTATACTTTTTTATTCAAAATTTTTAAGATATACACGAATTTACATAATTTCGCGTTTTGAAATTTGGCACCTTTTTTTTGAGCAATAATAAACGCCAAATGTGGTCTATGGATTTTGTTACACTGAATTGCCACAGCTATTTTTAACCTTAACTTCAAGTAAAATTTTACGGAGAACTAATTATATGACATTTTTTCCCTCAATGATTCGTAATAAATATTATTAATACTATATGAAAGGCTATTTTTTAAATATAGATGATATTATTCAAATTTTTAACTATTTTTTTAAATTTCTCTCGTATCTTTTCTTTTTTTTTAAAAAAATAAGAGTAAGTTTTGTAAGAGTAAATTTTTACCTTCGGCGTTTTTATCGTCTGCTACTTACTTCGTTAAATCGAATTGTCTAAAACTGAGAATTTTCGTTTGATATTATTTGAATTTTATGACATTAACTGCATAATTTATTTCTAAACAAACTGTTGCCTTTGAAGTGGCTGAAAGAGCGGCTGATACTATTATCCATATTTTTTTTAAAGCACAATATTTTTTATAGAAACATAATATTTAGAATAATCATTTTTTATAAAAGTCAAATTATGATATAAGCATACAACCCTCTAGAGACTGAATTAATGGAAGTTCAATGGTTATGTAGAAATGATCTGCAGCTACTAATGGCTGGATAAGTCAGCAGATTCTACGGACAAGTAAGAATAATATATAAACGACACCAACATTCTGGATTCAATAAACAAACGGATACGATGTTTACTAAATGAATTTAAGAAGTTTTAAAACATAAAAATCAACTCATTTTTTTCCTAAATGTATTTTGTGCGTAGCGTATTTTCATTATATCCTTAAAATTTCTATTTAGAATGTAATTGTCAAGAACTGAATCCTAATCATCAGTAATATAATAAGTAATTATTACGGTTATTAATAAATCCTTCTTATAAAGTAATTGCAAATATTTCAAAAAACTTTCTGTCTGAATGCAAACATTTTTCTATGCAAAATATTTTTAATTTTATATTAATCAAGATTGCACACCATATTACTTATTTCCACTTCAATTCTTACCGTCAGTTCTAGTAGAATTTACAAATCAATTATATTTAATTAAGGATTGGATTGGATTATTTAATTATGGCAAAGCACACGAGGGCTATCTGCCTAAAGGGAGGAATGCCTTCGTGGAGGACTAAGGGAAACTGGTTCGTATACACGTTACACATGGGGAAAACCACGAAACCACCCATGCGGCCAGCCCGTTCGCGGGATTCGAACCTCGGACTGAACTACCAGTGTTCAGTGTCTTTACCGCTCAGCCATTGGTAGGCTATTTAATTAAGGAATGACCATCTAAGTTAAGAAACAGCGTACCGTAACAACATTTCAATTATTGGCGCCGTATCTTTCATGTTACTCCCGATTGGCTAGATACATGATTTTTAATGAGTATTCGGATTTTACTAGTAACTTAACTTGGAAATCGTGCTTAAACTAGGTTAGTTGGTTATTTGAACATAGAAGAACATGGGAGCTATTTGATTAAGATGCTTTCATAGAGAATCTTTGTAAGAGAACCTAAAAAACTACAAAAACCAACCATGCAGCCTGGGTTAGACTGAGCAGCAAACAATTAGTATTTAACAATCTTTTTTTTTTTTTTCCAAATTCTAGGCAACTGATAAGGCTTCAATTAAATCTCCAATTTAATATTTATTGTAAATATTTAAAATATTGTTGTATTCTTAGACACAAAAAGCAGAATTTAAGTTTTGTTAACTCGTTAGTAAACTACCAAGCCGTAGTGCAAATGAATATTCAATTTTCTTTGGCAATAATTGTATTCACTTAATATTCTTGGAATATGAGCTAAAGAAGGAACGTTCTCGGAAGATTAAGAAGTGTTTAAATCCAGTGATATTAGGTTTGTGTTACAAGCTCAGGATCAAAACGATTCTGCAATTGCCCGAGTAGTTGACTTGTAAATGGATGTGAATTAAGCAGATGACTTTTAATCTTACGTTATTCAGCCAGAAAACGTATTCCAAATGTTTTGTATTGCATGACAATGCATCTTTCATTATTCAATAACCAGTCGGAGAACCGCTTGTGTTCGGAAAATAGTATGTATATTCAATCGTCCTGCATGTTCTTCAAATTGTCTTCTTGTGATTTTTTTTTTTTTCCAAAACTAAAGTTGCCTCTCAAAGGAAAGTTTTTTGACATTGAAGAGACAAAATTAATATGACATCTACTTTTAGAGGCATGTGAAAAACAGATCTCTACAAACCTTCTCTTCCATTACATGTTGTGCAGTCAGACAAAAAGTTACATCAGCGTAAATTCTATAATCTATTTTTATTACGCTCTGATTACTTTATTAACATACAGTGATATATACTAAATCTTTACTTTAGCTTAATTAATTCGGAATTTTTGACGGAATGTTGTTGTCGGAACTAAGAAGATAAGTCAAATTAAATATTTCGATAACCCATAAATTCAAGTTCGAAATTTTCAATATTTTATTTTCGGAGGGAGGGGAAATGTTTTCAGTTTGGTCCATTATACTAAGTATATTTGCTTCGATTTTTTATTTTTTCCATAAAAGCGAAAATAATTTGAAGCTATGCATTATATTGTATACATATAATGCATAGCTTCAAATTAAAAATTTAATAATAACAGAGTGGTTATAATAAAGTTCCACATTGAAACGGTCATAAAAAGGAAAACTACTAGATCAAATGTTATCAAACTTGGTAATCGTGTAAAGGAAGTCATGGAGAATTTATTTTCCGCGAAAAAAAGGAAGTTCGAAACCTCACCACCAGGTTAAAAATGGCGCTGTATTGCAAT